CAACCTAGCAGTTCAAAAGCACGTCAAAGTGCAAGTAGATAAATAGGTACCGCTCTGGCGGGAAGGTAAACGGCGTTTCCGTGAGCTGCTCTGGTTCGCCAGAAGCGGCTTAGTCATTCTGGCCATATGACCTGGAAGCTGTATGCTGGCTCCCTCAGCCAATAAAGCGAGATGAGCGCCGCAACTCCAGAGTCGGCCACGACTGGACCTAACGGTCAGGGGTCCCTTTATCTTTACCTAGGACTTAGGAAAAGCCACATAGTGAAATTCTATCTTAGAGCTGTGTAGTGTAGGAGGAAGCTACAGTTGGTAGTTTTTTTCTTTTCTACACACAACTCTTAAAATTATAGGAGCACTTTCAGGTTCGGTTTAGGTGCACAGTCTTAGGGTTTAGAAATCATGAACGTATGGAGCTTGTATGGATTTTCTTCTCTGGTGGAAGACTGGCACCCAAAGACTTGTTCTTTCTTTTCTCTTCCCATCCTAGGTTTCTCATGAAGACGATGAATGTTTTCAATTTAAAGCTTACAAGTATTTTGAAGCTGGTCTCATTCAGCCTGGATCTGTCAAGGTGTACAGCTATTATAATCTAGGTAATGGCAACGTCAGCATAAGTTGAAAGCTGCCCTCAGTTGTGCATCTTAGGGCCTGATCCCCACAGCTTTGTGTAAAACTGGGACTTTGGGCTCTGGTGAACTTGAGGACATAAAATACAAGCTGGATTCTCTTAACATTACATACAGCTCTCCCCGTGGACCCAGCCAGATAGGTGTATTGATCAAATAGCATGCACATAACTTTTCTGAAAGTCTTTTTGGCCCCATTTTATGAATGCAGAATTGAGCAATATATCACATAAAAACATCAAAAGGTAATGTCATGAGAGCAGAGACCCGCAAGTAGCGCAGCTCAGCAACATCCAGCCCTAAGACATCCCTGCTCTAAGCAGCCAGATACAGTGGTACCTCATGTTACAAACACTTCGGGTTACAGACTCTGCTAACCTGGAAGTAGTCTCTCGGGTTAAGAATTTTACCTTAGGATGAGAACAGAAATTGCACGGTGGCGGCGCGGCAGCAGCGGGAGGCCCCATTAGTTAAAGTGGTACCTCAGGTTAAGAACGGTTTCAAGTTAAGAACGGACCTCCAGAATGAATTAAGTACGTAAACAGAGGTACCAATGTATACCGTATTTTTCTGTGTATAAGACTAGGTTTCCCCCCCTCATAAATCATGTCAAAAACTAGGGGTGTCTTATATGCTGATAATGCTGAGGCCATTTTCTTAAATCTGAGTCCCCCAAAATAGGGGGCGTCTTATACATGGAGACGTCTTATAGACTGAAAAATGCAGTAATTTCCTTCCAAGGGCAGTGAACAAAACCAGGGTGGCTTGGCTCCTGGTTTCCTCTTCTAGCACTAACCCACCCAGGGTGTGTGGGCAAATAGGAAAGACAGAATACTATAGAAACGTGAGTAATTGTCCTTTGCTGCAGCATGCAAGAGTGGAGTTTTTGGTGGCTTCTTGGGCAGGATGGGCCCATCCCAAGGTATTTTGCCACGCCAAAGAGCTCACCTGCTTGATGGGATACCTGCTCTCTCTTTAAGGTCTCTTTCGGTGTTATAGTGCCAGGGAGGGTGAGCTGGCCACTGACAGGTTCGACCTGGGCTGCCAAGCCCTTTTAACCAAACACTGGTGGCTCCACCAAACTCAGATCGACATCTGCTGAAAATATTTGCCCACAGTCTCCCCTGTAATGCAGTTGTCAGAAAGAACAATAAACCACATTTCTCAAGTGACTTCTGAATTATATCTGCGGTTCCTTAGCCATGCTTAAGCACAGGAATTCCGGGGTCCTTTGTGGCAGCACTGTCTGTACTGAGGAGCATGGCCATTTGTGCATAGGTCAATTTGTGCAGCGAAATACACTTCCAGCCTCAGACCGTTACCTGAAGAATAGAGTACAGAACTTGAAGAGAATGCTGGGGTACTACTCTCTCCTTTCCATGTGACCATTTAAAGAAATCTTCTTCATGGGTTTCCCTGCATTAAGTCAGGGTGATGTATCACTAATATTCCGCTTGGGAGAAATGGGTCACCCTCTCTTGCTCTGTGCATTTCCTAAGGCTTATCTTATGGAATCAACCCCCCACCAGGAAATCAAATCGGTGAGCCACACAGGCATGTCAGTGTGGAAGTAAGGACCTCTCTTTTCATTCCTCCTTTCAGATGAGCAATGCACCAAGTTCTACCATCCCTCCAAAGGGAGTGGCCTCCTCGATAAGATATGCCATGGCGATGTTTGCCGGTGTGCAGAAGGTAAGGCAGGGGGCGAAGCAGAGATACTGATTCCAGTCACCCAAGCACAGCTCTGGGGATGCGGGGAGGGTTGGTCAGCATGGAAACAAACGTCCTGTCGACATTTGTGGTTTCTGAATCACAGGAATTACCGTATTTTTCGCTCTATAAGACGCACTTTTTTCCCTTCAAAAATGAAGGGAAAATGTGTGTGCGTCCTATGGAGCGAAGACGCCATAGCCCCGCGACCCTCTCCCGGCTGGAGAGGTGACGCACGGCTATTGAGGCTCTTGCCATAGCCGCCCGTCACCTCTCCAGCCGGGAGAGCGCGCGCGGGGCTGCTGGAGAGGTGACGGGCGGCTATAGAAGCTCCTGCCATAGCCACCCGTCACCTCTCCAGCCGGGAGAGCGCGCGCGGGGCTAAAGCAGCCCCCCGTGACCCTCTCCCGGCTGGAGAGGTGACGGGCGGCTATTGAGGCTCCTGCCATAGCCGTGCGTCACCTCTCCAGCCGGGAGAGCGCGCGGGGCTAGCAAGCCATAGCCCAGCGACCCTCTCCCGGCTGGAGAGGTGACACACGGCTATGGCAGGAGCCTCTCGCTGCGCCTTTCCGCTGCTCCCTGAACTGCTCTTTGGGGCTGGCGGTGGGCTTCCCCGCCAGCCCCAAAGAGCAGGTCGAAGGAACCTGAAGCCTGGAGAGCGAGTGGGGTCAGTGCACACCGACCCCTCTCGCTCTCCAGGCTTGCAAGGTAGCCGCCGGCACGCACCTTAAACGGCCCCTTGTTTTAGAGCGGGAAAACAAGAGGGAAAGTTCTCCCTCTCTGCGCAGCGCCTCCTGCCACTTCGCTGAAGGGGCGCTGGGCAGAGAGGGGGAGATTTTTTTTTCTTGTTCTCCCCCCTCTAAAACAAAGTGCGTCCTATTGTCCGGTGCGTCCTATGGTGCGAAAAATACGGTAATCTAGGGTGTATCTATTATCTAAGGTGGCATAGCGAGGGATGGGGTTGCTATTAAAAGAACCTGGTCTTTACAAGATTTGGCAAAATCACGAATGATGGGTTTGGACTTGGTTTGAGCTCTAGCACTTTATATTATCTGATGAAAAATAGCAAATTTTTCAGCTCGAGGGAGCGGCAGGTTCCTTTCTTTTACATTTACCAAATATATATTTCAGTGTATAGTATATTTATAATACTAACGGGTAATGCACAATAAAAATAATCTAAAATACAGTCAAATGCCACAATAATATTGAATATATTCTTTTTTCTTGAAGTTATAATTAACTTCAAGTCTCTACATACCATCTCCTAAAATATGACAACCCTCCCAACAATTTTATTTCAGTGTCAAGAAGGTGTCAAATAGTTCCATTTTAAACTTTTGTTTGATAAATGTAAAAGAGGGATTTTTCAAAGCTGAAAATTCTTTTTAACAGGCAAAGACGTCACTAGCCTCACAGTTATATATATACATAAAATTGTAGGGCTGTCATCAGGGTGCAGTTTGAGTGGATGAGAACAGGCAGCTGCTCCAACTCCAGCATGATGGCAGTCAGGCGAGTGGGAAGCATGGGTGGCTGGTGACTCAGGTGAGAAACACCTGCCGCGGCCTGTAAAATGCAACTGCGGCAAGGTTTGACGGGGGAGGGCTGGTGTTTCAGAAAACCGCTCTAAGAAGCGCATGCCCACCTTCAAAAGGTAGGATGAGCTGTGACAGACGAGGGAGACGCTTGGACTGGGCTGTGGAAGGAGGGGGCAGTTTGGGGCAAGCTACGAGAGGAGAAGGTGGGATGAGCCATGAAGGGATGTTTGGGTGAGCAGAGGCGGTTTTAGAGTGAGGTGACCATTGTGGATGCACCGTACGCCGCACTGCAGGGGGCGCCAAAACAATGCTATAGAACAGGGTACGGCAAGCAGGGGGTTCCAGATTTTAGCGGTGCACAGGGCTCTGCTGAAATTTGGGAGCCCGAAGTCTGCCACTGCAGTGAGAGGTGGGTGAGGTGGGGTTTAGGTTTGGACTCAGGGCCAGATTTAGGTTTGATGTGGCCCTAAGCTACTGAAGGTAATGGGGCCCTTTATATGTCCAGCTGTCCTTTGTCAACAACAAATTGTCGCTGCTTTTTGTGTTGAATATATGCTATATGGTCATTTATGGAGCTAATAGGTATCTAAAGCCATTTGCACAAAACAAAGAACATATTGTATCAAAGCAATTGTTGAGCTGAAATACAATTAAGAAGAAGTATATGAATAGTGAAATAATTATTAAGCTCTAACTTAAAATGATTGGGGGCCCATTACTTACATCATAGGAGCCTACACAACATAAAACACTGTTGCTGTATGTAGGTTTTGTTTTATTTGGTTTTTATCTTATATTTTTTTGGGGCGCCCAAGAAGTGGGGCCCTAAGCTATAGCTTGTTTCGCTTATACGTAAATCTGGCATTCGTGGCACTGGAAACAGGGTTGGTGGGTAGGTGAGCAGAGCCACCATTTGCAGTCGAAGAGGTGATGTCTCCTCACTGAATTCTCTCTGCAGTGTCTTAAAACCTCCTGGGGTAGACTCATGACTATGCAAAGATTATGGCAATGGTGAATAATTGCTAGGGCTGCTGCTGGAGCTCAGCCCTAATTTGAAAACCCGGCAGCTGCAATTATCACATCGGTTTAATAATACTCCCAGAAACAATCGGGAACTTCTAGGGAGATCTTCCATCTCTTCATTCATTTTCTCTCTCTGCCTTTCTCCCAAAGAAACTTGCACCATTTACAACACGGCAACGAAACCTGTGGATCTGCAGCTACGAATTGCAGAAGCCTGCAAGCCAGGAGTGGATTACGGTAACTAAAGTTTACTCTGCTAGATGAGGCAATGGCTGTGCGTTGATGTTAATAGCAGCTGCATCTGGTCAACCCTGGACATTGTGCAGTGATGTGGCTAAGGAAGTGGCTGAGCTATCACTCCCATGAGCCTGTATGGCCAGTGCTCAGGAATGATGGGAGTTGTAGTTCAGGAGGTCTGGAGGTCAGCCCCTTCTGCTTCAAAGTCCTCACAGGTTTCAGTTGAAGAATTAAAAGCATACCTGTTTTTCTTATTGAAGCATGTGGGCTTTAAGGGTGCTGAAATTATGACTGCATCATATCCTATTATTTATTTAAGATTTTTAAAGACTATAAGGAAATTCAAATCCTATACCCACTTGTAAGAGTCTTAGTCTTGGTGAACTCAATAGGGATTACTTCTGTGTAGCCATGTATAGAGAGTTGGGCAGCAAAGGGAGAAGATTAAATTCAAGAATTTCTCCTTCAAATCTGTACCCACTTACCTGGGAGTAAAACCTACTGAACTCAGTGAGATTACTTCAGAGTAGGCAATGTAGTCAGAGTAGAGAGAGTAGTCAAGAAGATGGTTTTTGCACGTGCTGTAGAGGGAACTGAGGGGCAAGTCTCATGAGAAGAGAAGACTCCCTGGAAAAGACCCTGAAGTTGGGAAAGATTGAGGGCACAAGGAGAAGAGGATGACAGAGGACGAGATGGTTGGACAGTGTTCTCGAAGCTACAAACATGAGTATGACCAAACTGCAGGAGGCAGTGGAAGACAGGAGTGCCTGGCGTGCTCTGGTCCATGGGGTCACGAAGAGTCGGACACGACTAAATGACTAAACAACAACAAGAACTGGACCTGGATATTTGAGGAGGCTCTGGATTTACTGGTGCCAAAATGTAGTGTCTTTAGCATCAGTGATTATCAGATTATCCCAGTATGTATCTGAGCACAATTCGTAGTGTTGGTGCTGACCTTTAAATTCCTAAGAGGCCTCAGCCCAGTATACCTGAAGAAGCATCTCCAACCCCATTGTTCAGCCCGGACACTGAGGTCCAGCTCTGAGGGCCTTCTGGGGTTTCCCTCCCTGCAAGAAGTGAGGTTACAGGAAACCAGGCAGAGGGCCTTCTCGGTAGTGGTGTCCGCCCTGTGGAACACCCTCCCATCAGATGTCAAGGAAATAAACAACTATCTGACTTTTAGAAGACATCTGAAGGCAGCCCTGTTTAGGGAATTTTTTAATGTTGGATGTTTTATCGTGTTTTTAATATTCTGCTGGGAGCCGCCCAGAGTGGTTTGGGAATCCCAGCCAGATGAGCGGGATAGAATAAATAAATAAATAAATATTATTAATTGGAGTTAAGGGGTTTTTTGGTGGGGAATCATACAAATTATGCAGAATCATGCAAGTTCACTAGCTATGTTAAGGCATATATGAGGAAAACATGCAGCCATCTTAATTAAAATCTTTCTCTGTCTTCGTTTTTAAGTGTACAAGACCAAGCTGATTCTAATAGAAGAGGAAGGCGATTATAACAATTATATCATGGAAGTTCTGGAAATCATTAAATCAGGTAAGAATTTGCACCCTGAAGGGAAACTTGCCGTGGATCCAAAAGTAGCAACATTTACTTCAAATAAGTATTGATTAAAAATCTCACATTAAGTCTCTAGGCCATTGATTTTCAGTCAGTCCGACAGGCAACCCTGGGTCTCCTCAGAAGCTTCCCTGAAAGATGCCATGCCCAGCACTAGGAACAAAGGAAACTTTTAGTAGCCATTGAGACCATTGGCCCATCTAGTTCAATATTGTCTACACTGACTGGCAACAGCTCTGCAGGGTTTCAGGCGGGGGGGGCGGGGGGGGAAGAAAGGGGTGTCTCTCCTACATCTACCTAGATTGGACTAGGTATCTTCTGCATTCAAAGCAAGTGCTCTACCCCTGAACTGTGCCCACTTCCCCATCACTGTTTGTCTTTTCTTCCCACCAGAGGTTGTTTCAGAATGTACGTGTTCTGCATCATGCAAACCACGAGGAAAGGGTTTCTGATAGCTAGAAACTCTGAAAACCATGGGCCTGACTTACTAACAACTATTCTTTATATTAAATGAATACCACACTTTTTAGTAATGCTCACCTTGATTCACCTAGGAGCAAATGTTGATGGAAATGTGTTTCTGTTTGTCTCTTACTGGATGAAAGGCTGAGGATGCAAAGAGGTCCAATCCAGAAAATAAACCTAGGCATATGTAGCTCAGATCAGATCATTGGCATTGCCAATAACACTGGTCCTCTGTTTCAAAGAGGAAAGTAGGGGACTAGATTTACTCTTCTCTGCTGTTCCATAAATGATTTCTTTAAAAAAATATTTTTATTTTTAAACACTTTGCTCTACAAGTGACAGATTAGAGAACAGATTAATGACCCTTTATTGTTCTGATGCTTTTGTTTTTTTTTCATTTGGTGAAATGACAATAAATTTTAGGAACAAAATTAAAGGCGCTTAGGTTGGGAAAACTTACATTGCTTAAGCAGGTTACATTAGTTACAAAAACACACACCCTTTTTCCCTCCTCAACAAATGAAAAGAAAAGTAGGCGTGTTTAATTTTATTCCCGTCTTTGAAGTTCTCAGCATTAAGAAAATGTGGTGAGCTATTAGCTGAAATGTGTTTTACATGCAACATTTACTGTGACCAATGTAACACCACTTGTGCAACTTAAAGACTGTCATATATTTTCTTCCCTGATAATTTAAGAAAGGATTAAGGGAGAAATTCTATGCATAAGAAACTAGTATAAAGCAAGCTACTATAAGTTAAGCTGGAGTAAAGTTACACCAGATCCAAATTCTGTTCAGCGGGGAGGCTGTTGAAGTTGCTTTGCCTAAGCCCAGCACAGGGAAAACTTTAAACTTTAAAATAGTACAGTGGTACCTTGGGTTAAGAACTTAATTTGTTCTGGAGGTCCGTTCTTAACCTGAAACTGTTCTTAACCTGAGGTACCACTTTAGCTAATGAGGCCTCCCACTGCCATGCGATATCTGTTCTCATCCTGAAGCAAAGTTCTTAACCCGAGGTACTATTTCTGGGTTAGCAGAGTCTGTAACCTGAAGCGTCTGTAACCCGAGGTACCACTGTATTCTGCACCAGGTTGCCAGGTCACGTGGCTGAGCTGAACAGACTTGAGATCCAGCCTCTCTGGTCCCACCTTTGGCAGACCTGCAGAAGGCCCCCTTTTTGGACTTACACCTGTGTCAGCTCAGTCAGCTTCAGCTCAGCTGACCGAGCCCCACTTGAGCCAACAATAGCAAGTTACATCAGCGTATTTTGGCTAAGCCAGCATCAGGGATTTCATGCTGATCGAGATCCAGTTGCTCATTCCAGTGGATCTTGCCCCCCAAGCCAGATATGTGAGAATCTAAAGGATAGTGGTTTGCATATTGTTTCTGACTAATCATGAACCCAAAATTAAAAGGACATATGGGAGGCCCCTTAGACAAGCCACTCCTTGAGCCTTGATCCTTTGCATATGAGAATAGTAATGCTAATGACCTACTGAGTAGAAGTGTCTCCACCCCCATCAATAAGCCCAGACGCTGAGGTCCATCTCTGAGGGTCTTCTGGCAGTTCCCTCACAGGGAACAAGGCAGAGGGCCTTCTCAGTGATTGCACCGTCTCTGTGAAACACCATCAGATGTCAAGGAGATTAAGAACTACGCAATTTTTGGAAGACATCTGAAGTTTTTAACTTCATTGGGAAGCTTTTAACGTTTGACGTTTTATTATGTTTTTATATTCTGCTGGAAGCCACCCAGAGTGGCTGGAAAAACCTAGCCAGATGAGCGGGGTATAAATAATAATAATAATAATAATAATAATAATTATGCAGATTTGATGCATTCATCTTTAAATGTGTATTGGATCCAATTTCTGCTCATGGACCTGATTCAAATATTTCTCCATGTTCTGTCTGGTTCCTCCAGGGAGTGATGCAAATCCACAAGTCAAGCCCCGCAAGTTTATCAGCCACAAGAGATGCCAGGAATCTCTGCATCTGGGGGTGAACAATGAGTATCTGATCTGGGGTCTCAGCACTGACATGTGGCAAACCAAAACTGAGTATGTATTTAATTTCATTTATTCATTATATGCATAGCCTGCTTCTCCACCATCAGGTCCACAGAGTGCCGAAGAACTGAAGATTCAGTAACAGTTACGCTGCAGTTTTTAAAAGCAGCAATCAGCCAATGAAACAAGCAAGAAAAAAGAAGAAAAAGTTTTTTGGGGGGGCCACTTCCATAGAGAACTTTTTGTGATCACAACTGACATTTTCTTGGTACATAGATGGGATTGTTAAAGTCACATTAACCATGCTGCTGCTAAGAACCCTTTATATATACAGTGGTGCCTCGCAAGACGAAAAGAATCCGTTCTGCGAGTCTCTTCGTCTTGCAGTTTTTTCGTCTTGCGAAGCAAGCCCATTAGCGGTTTAGCGGATTAGCGCTATTAGCGGCTTAGCGGGCTTAGCGGATCAGCTGATAAGCGGCTTAGTGCCTTAACGGACCAGCTGTTAAGCGGCTTAGCGGATCAGCTGATAAGCGGCTTAGTGCCTTAACGGATCAGCTGTTAAGCGGCTTAGCGGATCAGCTGATAAGCGGCTTAGCGATCAGCTGTTAAGCGGCTTAGCGGATCAGCTGATAAGCGGCTTAGCGGCTTGGGAAAAAGGGTTTTGAGGAACAAAACCCCGCAGGAACTCGCAAGACATTTTCGTCTTGCGAAGCAAGCCCATAGGAAATTCGTTTTGCGAAGCACCTCCAAAACAGAAAACCCTTTCATCTAGCGGGTTTTCCGTCTTGCGAGGCATTCGTCTTGCGGGGCACCACTGTACCAGACTTGTATTCACATCCTCATCATGGTCGCTTCCACACTCTCTCACTAGATATCTGGAAATACAGAAAGCTTTCACCCATGTGCTCCCGCATTGCAGAACTTATATGAAACTCAGGAGTTGTGTCTTCTCCCAGGGGCCTCAGGTCCCATATCCTTATCTCCTAGTAAGGACGTGGGTGGTGCTGTGGTCTAAACCACTGAGCCTCTTAGGCTTGCTGATCAGAAGGTTGGCGGTTCGAATCCCCGCGACTGGGTGAGCTCCCGTTGCTCTGTCCCAGCTCCTGCCAACCTAGCAGTTCAAAAGCATCCCAGTGCAAGTAGATAAATAGGAACCACTGCGGCAGGAAGGTAAATGGCGTTTCCGTGTGCTCTGGTTTTTGTCACGCTGTTCCGTTGCGCCAGAAGCAGTTTAGTCATGCTGGCCACATGACCCAGAAAGCTGTCTCTGAAAGCAGAGATGAGAGTTGCACCCCATAGTCAAATTCGTCCAGGGGTTCTTTACCTTTACCTTTTACCTTATCCCTATCTCCTAAATTATTATTTACACCTTTGCTCCCACAGCAAAAGCATGAAGTGTGAATTGCAAATAGTTGTTCCTACCTTAACATTACATACCAGGTAGACTTGATCGACTACATTGCACCAATGTAGCACCACTGCATATACAAAATTCAAGTGTAAAGCTGTTTGTATTCTAAAATTTCCTCTCTCAACCTGCATCTTCTTGGAGACTGTTCCTGGGTTTCAGCCCCCTAATGGAAATGGAAATGTTTATTGGTTGGAAGCTACAGTTGCCTTAGTTAGAACAAGCCTGAAATTTGGTCCCCATGACTAACAAGGCCCATCTTGGCTATGATTCCATGAGAGGGGCCTTTGTTCCTTTTGTGTTGTACCTTTGTAAGATCGCAAGAGGTGTTAAGGCCATGGAGCATGCCTTCTGACAGGGCCGGCCCATCCACGAGGCAGACCGAGGCAGCCGCTTCAGACAGCAGAATATAAGGGGCAGCGAGGAGAAGCAGCTGCTGCAGCTTCTGGGTTCCAGTGAGATCTTGTGAGAGTCCCTCAAGATCACGTCGAGAGCTCCTTGCTTACTGGGGTCTCGGGAAGGTCGTGCAAGGCCTCTGGAGGCCTTCTTGTAATCTTGTGGGGCTCTTGTGAGATCTTCCTGGAAGCTGAAGCTGCATGACCCAGGTAAGCCCTTCATGGGCAGGCAGTCCCTTCCTATTTCTCCGCCTCTACCTGCTGATCTAGAGAAGCGGGTGGCGCTGTGGGTTAAACCACAAAGCCTAGGAAGGTTGGCAGTTCGAATCGCCACGACGGGGTGAGCTCCTGCCAACCTAGCAGTTCAAAAGCACATCAAAGTGCAAGTAGATAAATAGGTACCACTCCGGCGGGAAAGTAAACAGCGTTTCCGTGTGCTGCTCTGTTTCGCCAGAAGCAGCTTAGTCATGCTGGCCACATGAGCCAAAGCTGTACACCGGCTCCCTCGGCCAATAAAGTGAGATGAACGCCGCAACCCCAGAGTCGGCCACGACTGGACCTAATGTTCAGGGGTCCCTTTACCTTTACCTGCTGATCTACGATGTCTCTAGATTCACATGCAGCACTTAGGCCAGCCAGTTTTCCTGTGGAGCAAAGATTCAAAGCTTTCCTTCTCCCCTTTCCAGGGTCAACTACCTCATTAGCAAGGACACCTGGATCGAGAGATGGCCAAATGAGGACGAATGCCAGGATGAAGAATTCCAGGACTTGTGCAATGACTTCACTGAGTTTTCCAATTCACTGATCATTTTGGGCTGCCAGGTCTAATGGCAGGCATCGGCGGCAGCGAATGATTCCCGTGAGATGGGTTTGAGTCAGAACTTCAAAGACACCTTCCCTCCTGAAGTTCTGCTTCCTATTCTTTTTGCTCTCCAAGTTCCTCTTCAAATTGTTTATATTGAAAATAAAGAACCGATTTCTTACTGCTGGGTCAAGTTAATTATTTTCATTCAAACCTCAGGTTGTTAAGGCTGTTGCGGTGTTTGTTTCTATAGTGCCATCAGTGCGAGTGACCCTTCACAGAGGGCAGGGGAAGAGGAGTCTAAAATTTAGCACAGGGGAGTCAATCCATCTAACAGTCAAACGTTATTTGCTAAAACCCATGGGTAATCAAAAATGAAAACAATCAAACTGAGAGATACGTTTTAACAATACAAATATACAGGATACGTCCGTAAGCATGACATAAAGATACTGACTCTAGATGCATATCTGGCAATCAAATGGTCCAAAACAGGGCATAAGGAATTATTAGAATTTTATTTATTTATTTATTTATTTATTTATTTATTTATTTATACCCTGCCCATCTGGCATTGTTCTTCTCTTTGACATCTGGTGGGAGGGCGTTCCACAGGGCGGGTGCCACTACCGAGAAGGCCCTCTGCCTGGTTCCCTGTAACTTGGCTTCTCGCAGGGAGGGAACCGCCAGAAGGCCCTTGGCGCTGGACCCCAGTGTCCGGGCAGAACGATGGGGGTGGAGGCGCTCCTTCAGATATACTGGACCAAGGCAGTTTAGGGCTTTAAAGGTCAGCACCAACACTTTGAATTGTGCTCGGAAAGAATATATGGCATGGTCTCAGTATCCTTAGGCTTGGTTACAGCTTATTACTACTTAAAAGGACCAGTGAATGGTCTGGAAGCACCATTATTCTTGTTTCTATATTTGCGGGCTCAGGGGTGAGAGGCACATATATAAAGGAAGAGCATTGCAGGTTGTTGCACTAGTCCCTGATTTGTTGGAGAGGGGAAAGGAAGAGAAGCCCTCCTTTTGCGGGGGGGACGGGACTTCAATCCTCCTTTTCATATGAGATTCAATCCCATGCTGGCAAATTCAGGTTGCCCAGTTAAAGCTGATATGGAGTTCTTGCACATCTAACCCGTTTCTCGAAATATCAGACTCCTTGCAATAAGGGTTATGGAGAACTGCATTGGAAGAGTGGGAGAGCACTTGCTTGACACAATGTCATGTAATCTCCCTGCGCCACGAATCAGAATGAATGATCAACAAACAAGGCAACTTGGAAGTGACAAGTCCTATTCCTCATCATCTGGATGTTTCAAAACCTCGTCCCTTTATCTTTGGATTACAGTCTGAAAAACTACAGCATCTGCCAAAGGAACCCCCAAGAGGTTCTCAGCCCTTGGGGGCAAACGAACAACGTTTTCTTGAAGTGGAAATGCTTGATTTGGAGCTTACGGGCTTAGTCCTCTCAGTTTGCAGGACCTCATCCAATCTGTAAGGAAAGGGCCCTGGCTTTCTGAAAGAGAGACAGCCACTGATCTTGAAAGCTGAGGCTTGGAGTTGTTCTCTCCTTCCCACTTTTCCACTTGAAAACCTTTGAGAGGGTTATCCAAGTGGGCTGGGCAACCCCCTCCCAGATTCAATACATGTTCAAGCCAAACCTTAAAACGCGTTCAGAACTAAAAAGTAGTACCAGCTGCTAAGTAAACCACAAAATTCAGGCAGATACCCACCTTTCCTCCCTACAGAGAAGTAAATTAATCACAATAAGTACCAATATTCATTTCTTCTGCAGGGAGGAAAGGGATCCTGTGTGGGATACACTGCAGAAGTTTTCAGAGCAGGCAGGAGCCACTGTGGGTTGTGTCTCGGCAGTGCTCCCTACCTGTTGAAGCTGGGCAGGTTGGTTCACCAAGTGTGTTCTTTTATTTTTTCCCTGCCAGCAAATGGTTAATGAACAGCAGCTTATGATTGGCCGGGGTTCCAGGAGCGGGAGTTGAAAAGGAGAGGATTTGGAGCAGGCATAGGCAAACTCGGCCCTCCAGATGTTTTGGGACTACAATTCCCATCATCCCTAGCTAGCAGGACCAGTGGTCAGGGATGATGGGAACTGTAGTCTCAAAACATCTGGAGGGCCAAGTTTGCCTATGCCCAATTTGGAGAAACAGTGGGAGTAGGTTTTTGGAGTAGGTTGGGATTGAGGTTGGGACAAACTTATACTGGTTCTTCTGCCTGCATCTTGGCGGCAGTTGAGTAATAAATGGAGTGTATACTTTAAATGCCTGTTGTCTTTGTCCATGGAGTTTTCTTGGCAGGGATACTGGAATGGCTTGCCGGTTCCTGCTCCAGGTGGATCACGTTTGGTCAAAACTCTCCACGATGACCTGTCCATCTTGGGTGGCCCTGCACGGCATAGCTCATAGCTTCTCTGAGTTATTCAAGCCCTTTCACCATAGCAAGGCAGTGATGCATGAAGGGGACCTTGCCAACAAAGGTCCGTATAGTTAAAGCTATGGTTTTCCCAGTAGTGATGTATGGAAGTGAGAGCTGGACCATAAAGAAGGCTGATTGCCGAAGAATTGATGCTTTTGAATTATGGTGTTGGAGGAGACTCTTGAGAGTCCCATGGACTGCAAGAAGATCAAACCTCTCCATTCTGAAGGAAATCAGCCCTGAGTGCTCACTGGAAGGACAGATTGTGAAGCTGAGGCTCCAATACTTTGGCCACCTCATGAGAAGAGAAGACTCCCTGGAAAAGACCCTGATGTTGGGAAAGATGGAGGGCACAAGGAGAAGGGGCCGACAGAAGACGAGATGGTTGGACAGTGTTCTCAAAGCTACCAGCATGAGTTTGACCAAACTGCGGGAGACAGTGGAAGACAGGAGTGCCTGGTGTGCTCTGGTCCATGGGGTCATGAAGAGTCGGACACGACTAAACAACAACAATACTTTAAATCTGAAGTTTATTTGTTTTTACTTCTTTTTTGGACAGATTGTCCTTCTGGAGTGGCTTTTAAGATGTTTAAAAACATCAACGCATAAGAATAAGCGTTTTTCACTCCTCCTCTCTAAATAACGGGGTGTGGGAAACTGTCTGGAAGATCCCTGAGGGCGTTGGGCCCTCTCACCCACACCCACACCCCGGCTTCACATGTTATTCCGTTTCAAAAAGCCCCCACATTGTGGCTACCAGTATGAATCAAGTCTCACCCACCAGACCTCAAGACCAGCTGAAAGCAACAGTTGATCAGTGGAGATATTTGAGCAAATACTAATTATAAAATGGAAAATTTCCTTCCAGGAAACTGCAATCAATAGCTCTCCCCACCTTCCGGAACTTAACGTGCTCTGCGCACCAACCACCTAACAGTGAATGTCTATGTCCTCAGCCAGAATTTTAATTGCAACGTATTGGAACAATGAAATTACACCTACAAAATCAGAATGGCAAGTTAAACTGTTAGAATATCTGCAAATGGCAAAAACAGCAGGGAGGGTAAGAGGGTATTCGACACAAAAAGTAAATCAAGAATGGATTATATTCAAGGAATATCTGAAAAATTACTGTGACAGCAAAAAGCTCCTGGCAGATTTTGAAAGAGTCTTGCAATGTATAGATAATATATGTAAATTGAATGCTTCTATTTAATTTCTCTTTTTTCTTTTTCTTTTCTTTTTCCAAAAGACTTAAGAAAATAATATAATAATATGATACTGTGTAAAATATAACAAATGTAATTTAGGGTGTGTTTTTCTAGAACAATCAGAAGTCTATTTTAGGTCTTTTTAAATTTCTTGTATTTTTATTTTTTTTGCTGTATGGGATGGGATACAAATTGTAATACAGTAATACCTCCATGAACGTCCGCCTTGTCTAGCATCCATTCCGGCGAACGTCTGCATCAAACCCGGAAGTACCGGAACAGGTTACTTCTGGGTCTGGCACTTGCGCATGCACAGAAGCGCAAACCGCTCCGCGCGCATGCGCAGATGCGGTGCTTTGCCCTGTGTCCTTTTTGGCTAGCGGCCAGGGCTCCAGAATGGATCCTGGTTGCAAAACAAGGTACGACTGTATAGTATATAGTATATTGCTGTATAATTTTGTGAAATATGTTTAATAAAGATTGTATTTTTAAAAAAACAAACAGTGAATGTCTATGTCCTATCAGTCCTTTGGGGGCTGTAATATACAGTGGTACCTCGGGTTACATACGCTTCAGGTTACATACGCTTCAGGTTACAGACTCCGCTAACCCAGAAATAGTGTTTCAGGTTAAGAACTTTGCTTCAGGATAAGAACAGAAATCGTGCTCTGGTGGCGCGGCGGCAGCAGGAGGCCCCATTAGCTAAAGTCGTGCTTCAGGTTAAGAACAGTTTCAGGTTAGGAACGGACCTCCAGAACAAATTAAGTACTTAACCCGAGGTACCACTGTACTACATATCAATGGTTGCCAAACGTTTTTGGGATGGTAACCCACAGGTCCAAATTTACTTGCTGTGCTGACCCATCACTCTATTGCAGCATTAATTCTGAAGCTTATGGACTTTAGTAGCGGTTCATTTCATGCATTTTTAACTGCAAGCTTGCCTACTTTGTAACTGGGACTGTCCCTGGAAAACAGGGACACTTGGAGGGTCTGCTTCTGCCACAAGGTCCCATCTGCTCATTGATTGTTAATGTCACATGTGGAGTCCCTTCAGTCTTTGGAGCTTGATTATGTTCTGATTCTCTCTCTCTCTCTCTCTCTCTCTCTCTCTCTCTCTCTCTCTCCCCCTAAGAAGAGCTCCCTGGATCAGACCAAATGCCTTCTACTCCACCTCTGAGACTGGAAGCAATACGCAGCCATTGTGGCTAGTGGGCCATTGATTGTCAGGAATGAGCCAGCTCCAAGCAAAAGTTTGCAGCCAGCAGCAGAAAGCAACCAGGAACAGAGAGGCTTAGATGTTAGTCAGACAGGGAAGAGCCGGCAGCTGCAGCCTTTGGCTCTTTCTGACCTTGATGCACAAGCTGATAAGTAACTGGGAGCGGGCTAGAACACAGCCAAAGCTGGCCGGAAGCACAAACACGAGCGAACAGACTCAGAGACAGTCTCTCAGAACAGAAAGAGGTAGGAGCTGATCCAATAAGTCCACACAATCGGCAAATGGGAGGGCTGTTAGACAGGATGCAAAACAAGAGACGTAAGGTGCGAACGTTCAATATACTGTGTCTGCAGACACAGGAAGAAACCTTCAGAAGGGTCATCTTGAGTGAAGATGCCAGAGGCTTTGTTAGAACCGTCCGAAGCTTTCTGTTTGTTTTTGCAACAAATCCTCCTTTTTAATTACCCACGCTTACTGTGTTATCAAGCTGGGAGCCTGGACTCCTGACATTGATCCTCCATGAATATATCTAAACCCTTTTAAAGCCATGCCATGGGCTACACCTGGTGGAAGCAAATTCCATAGTTAAATCATGTGCTCCTGTCTGAAGAAGTACTTTCTTCCAACCTTAAACTTCATTGGATTCTTGCTTCAAGAGTGAGGGAGAACAACTTCTCTCTATTCACTTTCTCCATGCTATGGCCCCTCTTTGAGCTTCTCAACAGTTACTGTATTTTTCGCTCTATAAGACGCACCAGACCATAAGACACACCTAGTTTTTGGAGGAGGAAAACAAGAAAAAAAATATTCTGAATCCCAGAAACCAGGACAGCAAGAGGGATCGCTGTGCAGCGATCCCACTTGCTGTCCTGGCTTATGGGATAGCCGCGCACAGCCTTTCCCGGGCAGGGGGAGCCTTTATCCCCCTGCCCGGGAGGGGCTGCGCATGGCTAAGGCTCCCCCAAGAGCCGTGCTCCCTTTAAAGAGCGTGTGGAGCATGTGTGTGGCTCTTGGGGGCTTTTCCCCGAAAAAAGGGCAGCCCTTCTCCCTCCTCAGGGAAAAGCCCCCAAGAGCCGCACACACGCTCCTCGCGGCTCTTTAAAGGGAGCACTGACCAGAGCCTCCCACCTGCATTCGTTCCATGAGATGCACACACATTTCCCCTTACTTTTTAGGTGGGGAAAATTGCGTCTTATAGAGTGAAAAATATGGTAACTTTCCTCTGCTCTTTCCAGGCACAGTCTGGTCTGCAATTTAAAGCTCCATGTCTGGGAGCCCCCCCTTTTTTTGTTTCAGGGCTTTCTGCCACCAACCTTTATTTCTTTTATAAGTAATATTTATTGATAATTTCAAAATTACAAGAAAAATAAAAAATAGCAAACAACACTACAGTACACAAAAAGAAAAAAGAAAAAGAAGACAATAAAAAAGAGAAAAGCACAAAATGTAAAAACCAATATAACAATACAGCAATAAAAAAAAGTAAAAGAGAAGAAAAAAGAGAAAAAAACACACAAATCCCAAATTGCATATCCATAATTTCTGTTTGCTTGTTTCATTGACCTCCTCACACCTCCGTTTTTGTATTCTAGTTTAATAATTATTTCAGCAAATTCTTTCCATCTTTCTCAATTTTTGTTATAAAATTTGTCTTAACAATTTAACCTAATAATTGACTCAACAAATCCTTACCATCTTTCCCCATATTCTATTATTCAGATTACCTTAAATTATTTAACCTTATCTTACCCCTAAGTGCCTTAAAGCTTAAATCTTAAATTTCAGATATACATAACTCCTAATATCATTTCTGCTAGAGTTGTATAGTTTCATTCCCACATTTTCCCTGGTATTCATTAGCTGGTTCTAAAATAAAAAAGGTTCCATTATAAATTCTCTTCCAATCATCATCCAGCGTCTCTTCTTCCTGGTCTTGGGTCATGTCGGTCCTTATTGTCCTTATTGTCCATTCCGTCTAGTCCATCAACCTGGAAGCCTTATGTCCGAGGCCCTTAAATCTCTTCCATGTCCCTTCTGCAATTCTTCTTCATCTTGTTTGTGCTTGTCCTTTTCCTTGTCTCTTGTTGGTCTCTGTCTTAGTTTCTTTCCTTTCTCATTGAGGAGTAGGTCTCTGGGGGATTCCAACCCAAAATTGTCTCCATCACCCTTCATCCAGCTCACCCATTCCCCACAGTCCCACTCCCCACAGTCCTCGATATAATCCAAAATGAGTTTTAAATCAAATTTCAGAGTCTCTCCAAAGCTAGAAGTCTCCTCATCTCCAGACTCCCCTTGGCCCACTCCAGCTTCAATCTTCAATAACAGTGGCTTATGCTCCTGTAGGACCTTTATTTCTGCCACCCTCAAATTGCAGAGGGCAACCATGTGAGGGGGTGGGGGGAAACCGCCCAAACCCTCATACCCCTCTTTCCTGGTTTCTAGGTTTTAGAACATGGGGAGCCTCCACAGATACAAGAGATGCTCTGTTTCTCTCACACCACCAGTTGCAGGCAACAAAATGAAGATTGAGAGGAGCAGACCTAGCCTGTTTACCCTTGCTGGCTCCATTCAAGTGATTTCAATATCTGAAGAGGATTCTAGACACACATGAATGCAGTTGGTTCCCCTCACGTGTCTAGTCGTAATCATGAAAGGAATACCAATCACATTAATATTGATCAAGACTTCCCACATATTTATTTTATGCAGGAAGATGTATAATAATAATAATAATAATAATAATAATAATAATAATAATAATTTATTTATACCCCGCCCATCTTGCTGAGTTTCCCCAGCCACTCTGGGCGGCTCCCAATCGAGTGTTAAAAATAATACAGCATTAAATATTAAAAACTTCCCTAAACAGGGCTGCCTTCAGATGTCTTTTAAAAATAAGATAGCTGCTTATTTCCTTGACATCTGGTGGGAGGATGTTCCACATGGCGGGTGCCACTACCGAGAAGACCCTCTGCCTGGTTCCCTGTAACCTCACTTCTCTCAGTGAGGGAACCGCCAGAAGGCCCTCAGAGCTGGACCTCAGTGTCTGGGCAGAACAATGGGGTGGAGACTCCCCTTCAGGTATACTGGGCCGAGGCCGTTTAGGGCTTTAAAGGTCAGCACTCTGCATTATAACAAGACTTAAACAATGGTTTGCTGTTCTAGAATTTCTGAAGGGTGGAGTGGCTCTCTTGAAAGTGAGGGAAGTTCCTCTCATGGTAGAGAATAAGAAAGCCAGTGAGAGAGGATGCAGGGAATGTACATGCCATGGGTTTTTTTTGTTTAAAAAAGAACCCAAATTATGCTTTCAAAATGTCTTGACGCCCTTCTTCTTCATCCACCCTTTCCTATCCCTCTCAGAGTTATTCTGGCCTGATTTCTTATTCTTTTCCTTTAAACAAACAAACAAGCAAGCAAAAATGCTTTTTCCCTCAAGCACAATTCTGCTCTTCTGAACCAGTGTTTCGGTTTGTTTTTTGTTTTTTTGTTTTTTAAAAATGCAGAAGTCTGGAAAAGGACAAGGGGATATCCCATACCTCCCACTGAAGCACACAAAAAGGACAGAGGGAATCTCCCACACCCGTACGGAGTGAGTCTTTCAATCTGAAGCCAAAACCAGATTATTATTTTTGAAAGCTAACCTGATCTTCCTCTTCCACGAGAGACCATAAGGAGAGACAGGGAAGTTGGATGCAGAAACATAAATGTCACTGTAGGCAGAAAGGGCCACTTCCAGGAAGTCTCTAGATATTTATAATTTCTGCAGAAACCAAAATCACAGTTAGCAGATACCCCAAAAGTGTTTCTGGGGCAAAAGGAGTACAGTGGTACCTCGGGTTACATACGCTTCAGGTTACAGACGCTTCAGGTTGCAGACTCCGCTAACCCAGAAATAGTACCTCGGGTTAAGAACTTTGCTTCAGGATGAGAACAGAAATCGTGCTCTGGCGGCGTGGCGGCAGCAGGAGGCCCCATTAGCTAAAGTGGTGCTTCAGGTTAAGAACAGTTTCAGGTTAAGAATGGACCTCCAGAACGAATTAAGTACTTAACCTGAGGTACCACTGTATTTGAAAAATGAGCGATTTTTGTTCCCTAAAATGTCTGATAGGACACCCCACCTTCCACTTACCTGCAAGTCAAAAATGCTTCTCTGTCCATGGTCATGAACTCAGTTCCCACTGACGGCTGGCAGTATGAACAGGTACCGCTCCTGACTGGGGGAAGAATTGGGGCCGGCCTCCCTGCACCCTTCCCCTTCCCCCTCCATGGCAATATGTGTGGGTGATCAAACAGAAAGTTGTGTACACCCACTCAGGAAAGGACCAGGAGGGGAGTGGCTTCCCTCGAGGAAGTCCCAGCCCACCGAAGCAAGCGTAGAAACCTAGTGTGTAGAGGCCAGTTGGGTAAGATTGTGGTTTCCTCTCCAGGGATGTGGGCGTTGCACTCTCTCATGTACATAACTCGGGTCACAGAGAAGCAACAAGCCTATCTGCTCGGCAACACATCCCCCTCGTGCCACAATCATCCTGCTGCCAATCTATTGAGAGACGAGAGTTATGGAGGACAGAGTGGGCTGCCCATCTGTTTTTGTCGTGGACGTGCCACAGAGGGATGTCCCCTTTGTGCCACCCGTGCGGAAGACCCAGAAGAAACGGCCGTATGGCCAGCTGCTGCTGGGAATCTTGGTGCTGCTGGCGTTGGCTGGTCTAGCCATAGAAGCTTATTTCCTTCTCTGCTTCCGCAAGGAACTGGACAAAGCCACATCACAGGTCATATCAAGTGCACAGAGAGCAAGGGGCGATGGGGAGTGGGAAGAAGAACGTGGAGGGTGGCTCTGGGTGTGGATGTTGAATAGTAAGAACGAATAGAAGCTGCAAGGATGCCTTGTGCGTTGAGGGGTTAGATGCACTTTGTTTGTTGGTTTGTTTGTTTGTTTGTTTGTTTGTTTGTTTGTTTCTCATTGGTTGAGATGGTAGAGAATTTTGTCTGGGTGACATTTTAAGCACTGACCTAATTCACCACCTCCTGGAGAAATATATGAATCAGAATGTAAATTATGCTTTGGATTTTTCTCTTCTCTGAGTTTTGTGATACGGATCTCCGATTCCATCTTTAAAAGATATGCCAATTAATCCAGAAATGAAACGGAACAGGCTTATGAATAAACACATGGCAAAAATTGACACAGAGCAGAGTAATGTAAAGATCTCTAGTGAGGATATTGTGTATGTAGAGTCAGCCCAGGTTTTATGTAGGATTAGTGTTAGGGTTATGGTTAGGAATCAGGATGCGGGGCTAGATTATCCTTTGGTGTGATCCAGTATTGCTATTCCTATGCTCTTTTGTTTGTGTGGATTGTGGATTATGTACTTAGCGTTCAGTTCAGTGTGTGTGAGAGAGAGAGAGAGAGAGAGAGAGCGAGAGAGCGAGAGAGAGAGAGAGAGAGGAGAAGGATGCATGCTCAGGTACTATGGGTGCAATTAGGTTTTTCAGGAACAGTTTCTATGAGACAATGCAAAAGTTAGCTTTTAAGATCTGAAATGCTTTGCATTGCACAGAATGTCAGGTAGCTATAGATACAGTATAAATAACCAGCTGAACCTCAGACCAGTTCATCTGAAGGATTTAGAGTTGAAAGTTGATTGTGGTTTCATTTAAAAACATGCAGCTGCTCTTAAAAATGAATTTCACTTTCTTCCAACTTACCAGACTAAATAGCATATGAACCTTCCTTCCTTTAATGATACCTTATGCAGAAAGACAAAGGGATCTCCTAACTTAGAAGGCCTGGGGATGTACATGGAGTGTGGAAACTAATAATTCTCTCACACTTCATCTCTCACATCTTCATGTGCTTGGATGCTCTGTGCCAAGAGAGAATGGCACAGATTTTATTGTGCTTATTTTGGTATACTAAATTCTCTGGAAACAGGGAAGCAACTAATACCTGTGGCAATAAGGAGGGATGTTGTAAATTGAGCTTTAAGAATGCTCCCCACATGGAGACCTCGGGTGCAAAACTCTGAGCACTGCCAGAATTCTCTCTTCCCCTTGGGTGAGTGAGACTGGACTGTATTGTATCCACTAAAATAAATATACTAACAACGTTGTTAATTCATTATTTCCATCCTAGAAAGCATTATTTCCATCCTAGAAAGCTGCAACTTGCCCCTAGCTTCTAAGTGCATATAGACTGGATGCACATGAAGCAAACTTCCCATAGGTGCAGCTGGGGCCGTCCCTGCCATGAGGCAGAATGAGGTTGCTGCCTCAGGCGGTAGATACTGAGGCACAGGGAATGAGCAGAGCTTTGTATGACCCCCTAAGCTAGGCCACATTCACACCATACATTTAAAGCACTGTGACACCACTTTGAGCAGTCATGGCTACTCCCAAGAATTCAGGGAGCTGTAGTTTGTTAGGGGTGTGGAGACTTCTTAGGAGACCCACATTCCCATCACAGAGCTACAATTTCCACTGTGATTTTAACTCTCAATCCCTCTTCACAGGGAACTCTGGGAATTCTAGCCACAGGAGAGAATAGGGGTTTCCTAGCAACTCTTAGCACCCTTCACACGTCACAGTTCCCAGAATTATTTGAGGGAAGCCATAACTGTCCAAAGAGGTATGACAGCTCTTTAATGGTGGGCTGACGCCATCTTGTCGTTGGCCTCAGGCAGCGTAATTTGTTCAAGATGATCCATCTGTGGTTTCTGCTCTTTTTCATGCCAAATATGTTTTCCAGGAAGGATGTCTGCAATATCTGAAGTGGCCCTACATTCATATATGTTTATATTACAGACTTTTCACAGAAACTGAAGAACAGCCATTCCCGAATTATTATTTTTTAATAGATTCCAGGTGTATGTAAGAGAAGCAGTGGGAGAAGGTAGGAAGATGTGAGGTCCAAACTGTGATTCATTCGCTTACTATGTCTATCTAGCATTGGTTTCCCGTATACTGATGAAAAACAAATAATTCCGTGAGAAATATTTCAGAGATGGGACCTCTGTCAGCACTATAGTTGTTCAGACGTGAGTGGAATGCTTTTTCAGACAGCTTGACTGGAAATTGACTTCTGGATTTTATTTTTTCCTTTTTTAAAGGGATCTGCAGATGCAACATTTGAGAAATTTGTACAAGGTAAGTTTGTCTTGCCCTTTATCTAGAGCCTTTTGGTGCTCCTGAGGCATTGCTTTTCTGCAGTTAGCTAGAAGTGGAATTAAAAGTTTCACACAGTATATTAACGTAGCGGCATATTATCCAGCAAATCCCTTCCCCGTGGTCATAATGATACAATAGTGTCTTCTCACAAGTAGATATGAGATCAGCAACTAATTCTGTCCCATTTCAGTCAAACTGGCACTCAAACATATGTCTATTCTATCTCATTTTGAACTGATTTTTTAAAAATGCACAATAAGTGTGCAATTATATTGTACACTTTTTCGATACACTTTTTACACAAAACACTACTTCTCAAACATAAAACATGCAGTTCTCAAAATTAAGATATACACCTCTCAAAATATGTACTTCTAAATGCTTTGGAAAGCACTCATTCATAAAATATGCAACTTAAATATAAAACATGTATCTTGTTTGTGCTTTTCCAAACTGAAACCACATTGCAAAATCTGAGGAAGTCTTTAATTCAGCTGGGAGTTGCATTCCACAGGCAACATTATTGAGTCAGGATGGTGTGCTGTGAAAAGTGGACCAAATACGCTCCTCCCTCATCCCTGCTCACAAGTAATTTCCATGCAACAAAATTGATTTCCAATGCTAATTTGCGAGTGTAACCCATTTTATTGTATCTCTGCTTAGTGAGGCAGAGAAAAGAATGCTGAATTGTCCCTTATCTGATTTTGTTCAGATTCAGATTTGCAGTGTGTGCGATTCAGATTCAGATTACCAGTTTCTTTCCATTATTTCCTTCCTTCCTTTCTCTTTTAGTGTGATTTTGCAACAAAAAGAAACTAAATAAGATCCAACTGACCTTGTTCACCAGCAGTTCACTAGGGTAGCAAAACAACAACAACCTACTAACATTCCCTCTCCTCTCAGTCACTACTGTACTTTCTTTGATTATATGCTATTTCACCCAGTGCCCGATTTACATATAAGCTAAACAAGTTATAGCTTAGGGCCCCACTCTCTTGCCCCCCCCCCCCAATATCCTTCTTCTTAATTGTGTTTCACTATTAATATACTTCTTCTTAATTGAATTTCAGTTCAACAATTACTTTGATAAAATACATATTTTGTTATGTGCAAATGGCTTTAGGTACCTATTTGGTTCATAAATGACCATATAGCATATATTCAACACAAGAAACAGCGGCAATTTGTTGTTGACAAAGGACAGCTGGACATATAAAGGGCCCCATTACCTTCAGTAGCTTAGGGCCTCATCAAACCTAAATCCGGCCCTGATTTTACCCCTTCCATACTATAAGGGAATGTTGCATAACCCATTTGTGGAATTAATTACAATAGCTTAATTATAGCCACAGATAAATGTAGTGTTGGTGTGTGTATCAAGGTCTGTAAATCAAAGATGAAGGAAACATTGAAACTTGGAAGTGTCCGCAGGTACCTCATTCCCTGCTTTCGACTAACTGAAACCACAATACACATTTAATCCCAGCTATAAATAGCGTTGGATTTTAAAACTGTTGTGTGGTCATGCAGAGGTTTCTCTCACATGAAGAAATGTAAGATTCAGATTTGTTTATTTGAACCTGATCATCAGACTAGCATAAAGTAAGACTTTGACAGTGTTCCAGCTCACATTAGAGGGCCGCAAGTCCAAATGAAATTACATACAACCTAAACAAATGTCAAGGACGCGGGTGGCGCTGTGGTCTAAACCACAGAGCCTAGGGCTTGCCGATCAGAAGGTCAGTGGTTCGAATCCCTGCGACGGGGTGAGCTCCTGTTGCTCGGTCCCTGCTCCTGCCAACCTAGCAGTTCGAAAGCACGTCAAAGTGCAAGTAGATGAATAAGTACCGCTCCGGCGGGAAGGTAAACGGCATTTCCGTGCACTGCTCTGGTTTGCCAGAAGCGGCTTAGTCATGCTGGCCACATGACCCAGAAGCTGTACGCCGGCTCCCTCGGCCAATAAAGCGAGATGAGCACTGCAACCCCAGAGTCGGTCACGACTGGACCTAACGGTCAGGGGTCCCTTTACCTTTAAACAAATGTCAAACATTGAATTTCCCTGGCAAATCACAACCTTCCCCTTTAAAAATCTGGACCCTAACATATGTTAAAATAAATAAAATGTACACAAACCTAAATAAAACAATAAATAACCTGAATAAATTAAAAGTGTGAGGTAGCTTCTTTAGTGATACGTCGTGGGCCCTTCGATAAAGCACCTGGCATTTGTGGGGGTCTTTCCCCTTGACTGTTTTGCACCTGAGATGGATGTTTGGCTTTGCAAACCTCTTGCGTGCCAAGGCCCCGTGCCCTGCAGTTCTCCATTCATTAATAACACAGAGGCACCAGTATTTTAGGATTATGGGCTAAAACAGGCCACAACTTTATTGGTTACAGATGCACTTGGGCATTGGGTGAAACCAGGCAACATCTTGACTCCTGTAGGGAGTGGAACTAAGGGTAAATCACCAGAAGGGGGAGCCCTATGACCTACATCAAATAGGGGCACCCCAGGGATCCCCATTGGCGTTGTGGACAGGATCCACACCCCCAGATCCCTTTAACAGGATACCCTTTTCGAGGAGGGGCAGGCGGAGGCTACAACCTCCCTTCCATTAAACAAAGGCTTAACCCAATGCCTAACCTTACAAAGTTGTGAGGATTGCTACAAGTAGGCGAAAACCAAATGGCAGGTGCCAATTCGCCAAGTGGAAAAATTCCTACCCAGCCCCAACAATAAGGCGGCCGACATTTGTCCATAGCGAGGTCGTGTCAAACCAAAGCTTAAAAAGAGGGTGGGTGGGTTGGGAGGTCTGACAAAGAGGTGAGAGATTGGAAGCCCCTGGCTGCCCACGGTTTAAAACACCTGCGGCCACGCCCCCCGCTGGCATAGATTGGCTGGGTAGGGGTGACGCAGCTGGAGTTGGTGCAACGGGGTATCAATCGCCCGCCCCTGAGTTGGATCATGGCCAGGGCCAAAGGCCTAGCCGCAACACCACCCACCACGAAAGGTGAGCAGTCCTCTTAAGCAGGGCAATCCTTCATCCCATGGGCCAAGCAAAGCTCAACAAGGATTCTGATTGGCCCGTGAGGTCAAAAACCCCAAGACATCTGCCCTACACCTTTCCTACACTTTGGGAGTTCTCAAGTGGAACCAATATCTTCTGCCATCTGCTCGGTTCAGCTGCATTTGGGAGTTTTGAGTACAGTGGTACCTCGGGTTAAGAACTTAATTCGTTCTGGAGGTCTGTTCTTAACCTGAAACTGTTCTTAACCTGAAACACCACTTTAGCTAATGGGGCCTCCTGCTGCTGCCATGCCGCTGGAGCATGATTTCTGTTCTCATCCTGAAGCAAAGTTCTTAACCTGAGGTAATATTTCTGGGTTAGCGGAGTCTGTAACCTGAGGCGTATGTAACCCGAGGTACCACTGTACTGTATAGCCTTTCCCTCCTGAATGTGAAACTTTTAGCGCTGATGGAAGCCCCACTTTCAGCAGGCCTTCTCTCTTTACTGCCTGGCTTGAGTCCAAAGGAAAGGTTGCTGGCCTTGCCTGGCCTGTCTGAAGCCAGAGGCAAGCACAGGCTGAGGAACGGGATCTGACTGGTGGGCTGGATCCTGAACTCCCACCACCACCGTAGGGACAGTTTATGGGTGGGGCCACTGACGTATCCATCACCTGATGTCACCTTAATGCCAGGTAACTCAACTTCAAAGGAAAGAGTCATTTCTTCCTTTGCAGGTGTGGCAACATCCATCGAGGTGTTGGAGGATAGAACTGTAAATGCTACACAGTCTCTTCTAGACACTCTAAGGTGTGGAGGAAGATGCTATATTATCACAAGTGTAGAAGAAAGATTCAACCGCCACTCTGTCTGTGGAACGGAGCAGGTGCCATCTTGTTGTTTGCCTCAAGCAGCAAGATGACTTGGGTTGGCCCTGAGTAAAGAAGCCCCACTGGGTAGGGGGCTATATAGAACTCTTCTTGAGAGTGAAGACATCTGGTGACCAGAGCCAACTGGGGCAAAGTGGGCGACTTCCAAATTCCATGGGGCTCACTTTTGGAGGAGGTGCATAGGAGAAGCTTAGCTTAGCATCTCCTCGGGTGTTCCACTGAGAACCTTCCGATATCCACCTGCTGCCTACACCATTGCCCCAGCTGCGCAAGGGAAGAACGTAAACAAGTGAAAATAAGAAAATAGTATACTTGGCTGTGCACACACCATACATACATTTAAAGACTCCTGGGAGCTAAAGTTTACCTTTTACAGAGCCACTGTTCCCAGCACTCCTAACAAACCACAGGATTCGTTGCAGGGGGGCGGGCGGGCAATGCATTAAGTATGCTTTAAATGTACGGTGTGTGTATGACGCTGAAATAGACTCAGAGTTGAGAGTGGATTTCATGCTCTTTATTCAGCTCAGAGTGGTGAGGAGGAATGGAAGTTCCCACAGAATGTCTGCTTTATATACATTATTTACACAATGGGCCCTAAGTGATTGGCTAATTCCAGGATTCTCCTGCAGGCCAATCAGGTTGCGGTTTTGCTTCCACCTGGAGCTGGATTGGGTGGCTCCTGTGGACCAATCAGACTGCTGCATTCTGGGTCCTATTGTTCTAGGACCAATCAGACTGCTGCATTCTGAATCCTATTGTTCTCGGTACATAACAGAAGCCCTAGTCAATTCTGGATGATGTAACGTGCTATTACAATGCTTCTCACTCCCTCAGAAGATGGTAGGCTCTCCTTCCTCAGAGGTTTTTAAGCAGAGGTTGGATGGCCATCTGTCATGGATGCTTTAGCTGAGATTTCTGCATTGCCGGGGGTTGGACTAGATGGGTTGGATGGGTCCCGTGCAATTCTACGATTCTATGATTAGACACAAGGGAGTAGCAACGTTTTGTTCCTCTAAGAAAAAACCCCCCAAAACCTTGGACTGTTCCTTTTAATGACGCCTACACCACCCTCCATTCCCCACCCCCTCAGACTACACATCATTTCCTCTGGTTACATGCTGCATCAACCCTTCCGTGTGGTAAGGAAATATTGCATAATGCATTAGTAGAATTAATCGCCATCGCCTATAGGCACAGAGGAATCTTGTGGGTCAGTGGTTCTAGGTGCGTGTGGATGTCTATAAATCAAATGGAAACCAGGAAATGTCTTTTAGAATGAAAACCACACTAGCTAACACTTTAGAGCAAGAAAGCACACAATTAATCTCAACTGTAAATAGCACAGAGCTGTGCTGATTATCCATCTTTTTCACCGCGTGATCATGCCTGAGATGTGGCTATGTGAGGGAACCTTTTCGGATGACAGATGGTGTGTTACTTCCCTTAAGAGCAGCAGAATGGATGTGACAGACAAGATCTGATTCCAAGAAACGCAAGCCACTGGGAAATTTTCTGCACATGTCCCACTGAAGTTCTACAAATAATTTCTCCCCCCCTCTCCCCCCCCACAACAATTGCACATATAAAACAATCACACATAAAACAATTAAAAAGAATGAAAAGGAATTCCAAATATAAAAACAGTTTCAAAGCCAATAGCCAATTCAGATACCCAGGGTTGACGCAAAGCATTTTGCTGCCTGAGGCGAAGAATGTTTCCCTGGCACATACAGAAGCCAACTGGACTGGTAGTTGAATCTTACTCCAATACTTGTGTAAGGATAGCATCCTTCACAGCACTTGAGGGCTAGAGTACTGGGCCGGCCACATGGCACTCACAGTTTGGCCCCTCCCTGCACCTTGGCATGTGCCACCTGAGGCAACTGCCTCATCATAGGGCCGGCCCTGCAGATACCAATTGGGGTAACAATCTCTACTTCAAAGGCTTGTTGAAAGAGGAACGTCTTCACCAAGCATCTAAGAGGCAATAGAAGTTAAGGCTTGTCTGCTATATAAAGGGAAGCACTTTCCCCTCCAGACTCTCCATGCCCGGAAGCTACCATGCCTTTGTTTTTCTGCCATTTGGCCACCCAGGGCATGTCACATGGCACAAGGGGCAGAGAACCCTCTCCAAACTCCCATGTCCCTGCTGGCAGAACTTGGTCTGGACTGGAAGGAGGGAGAGACTAAGCGGGCAAGTGAAATGGTGAGCAGCAAGGGAGTGGCTGCAGAAAGCGGGATATCAAATAATAATAATAATAATAATAATAATAATAATAATTTATTTATCTCCCGCCCTCCCCAGCCAAAGCCGGGCTCAGAGCGGCTAACAACATCCAAACTCTTCTTCTTCTCCTCCTTCTCTTTCTTCTCAGGGAGGTCAAATATGTTCTTGCTCTCACGCTACACACCCCTGGTTCATTGTGGGCTACAGGGAAGCCCAACAGCTTGAGATGGTGACAATAATTAAATAAAATGTTACCTTTTTAATGATGTGATAATCTTTTAATTTTTTTGTGCCGCACGTATCCAATTTCTGTGATGAGAAAAGTAGGGTCCTGGTGCCTGTATCAGTTACGTAAACTGGGCAAATGTGCATAGTTTTTCTTGTGTCGCAGAATCTATTCTGCTATGTTCACTCTTTTGTGTTATTTATTCTGGCTTTGCTATAGAGAAGAACAAAAAGTCATGCAAGATACCGAAGCCTCCAGCAACCTTTTAGGGTTCTGAGATTTTAGCCAGCGCTGCCCACACACTTTCCAACATTTCTTTGCATCCCTAAGCGCTTTATGTGGGGCTACCTTTGAAGGTGACCCGGAAACTACTACTAATCCAGAATGCGGCAGCTAGACTGGTGACTGGGGGCAGCTGCCAAGATCACCTAACACTGGTCTTGAAAGACCTAGATTGGTTCCGAGTACATTTCCGAGCGCAATTCAAAGTCTTGGTGCTGACCTTTAAAGCCCTAAACGGCCTCAGCCCAGTATACCCGAAGGAGCGTCTCCACCCCCATCATTCTGCCCGGACACTGAAGTCCGGCGCCGAGGGCCTTCTGGTGGTTCCCTTGCTGTGAGAAGCCAAGTTACAGGGAACCAGGCAGAGGGCCTTCTCGGTAGTGGCGTCCATCCTGTGGAACGCCCTCCCAACAGATGTCAAAGAGAAAAACAACTCTCAGACTTTTAGAAGACATCTGAAGGCAGCCCTGTTTAGGGAAGCTTTTAATGTTTGACAGACTATTGTATTTTAATACTTGTTTGGAAGCCGCCCAGAGTGGCTGGGGAAACCCAGCCAGATAAATCCCCACCAATGGATCATCTGAGATTCTTTGCACCCAGCAGTACATTTCTGTACCTGTTCCTCACTCCCACAGAATTGCAGCACTTACAAATCCCTGATCACGGTTACCTGCTGCTCAGAGAAGTTGCTTCACAAGTGCCTCTGCTGCGCACAGCTGCCTGCAGACAAAAGGAACCAGCAAAACTCATTTTTGTCTTATTCATTTCCACAGGTCACAAACCTACCGTTGAAAAGCCAGCTGCTCATCTGACACTAGGTAAGAAAACTCTCTAAGTGAATTACAATTATACCATTTGCCAAGCTTTTCCAAGAGGCTGAGTGCTGTGGGCGCGATCCAGCACCAGTTGACTGGAGGGGTGCAGGGTGTAAAGGTTTAGAGTAGCTAACCTTGCAGCCAGGCCACCTGGAGCCTATAGTCAGGCTTGTGAGGTATATAAGATGGATATATAAGATGGTGGATCAGAACCATATAAGGTGGATATATAAGATGGTGGATCAGAACCAATGGCCAGCAGGGCAGTGGGAGAGTAGACACTGGCTTTGGGCAAGCGGGGCAGATTAGGGATCCTGTTGATGTACTGCCCACCTCGCTGCCCAGCAGTCTTCCTGCCCGAGCTGGCAGACGTGGCATTGAGATTCTCCTGGAGATTTCCGTGTCAATGCCATTGATCCTGATTCCAAGGCAGCTCAGGACTTCATGGCCTGCAAGGCAGCCAGGAGAAGGGAACCTGGGCTGTATCATGGTCCTACTCTTTCTTAAACCTTGGCCCCCCAGCTAGAAGGTATCCAGGAAGGCGGGGTGGATGAGTATTCAAACCATAATTTTTAGGTTTGATTTAGGGGTGGATGAGACTGCCTCTTTCAGTTTCTCTCGGTTTTGCATTTGTCTAGTCTTACATTTGGTCTGCCCCATAGCAGAAAATTTATGCAATTTTAAAATAAATGTCCCCATGTGAATTTGTTACATCCTCATGTGCATTTCTCTTCATGTATGCATTTTTCCATGAAATTTTGTCTAGTATATGCATTTTTGCAAGTAACACGCACCCTGCTCCCTGGAGAATGCACTGTTGTATATTATTTTCAACAATATGTGCATTCTTGTGTGCCCTATTCACAAATATATGCATCTTGTGTTTACTCTGGAGAGCTGCATTGCAAAATCTGGGTAAATTTTGAAGGAGAGCTGTGTTTGCTTCACTTCTTTGCTTGGAAAGTGTGGACTTGACAGGTTTGCATTAAAACATGAACCAAATGAAGTTCTCCCCCAGGCCTAGTTTGATCTCATTATCATTTCACTGTTGAAAGGGACAGGATCTGTTTGTTTACCCTGACCTCCACCACAAATGAAGATACAGGGGGTTGTGTTTTGCAGGTTCCTCTGTCACTGTGGCTCCGAATGGATCTCTGCAGTGGGAACCCACAAATGGCTTGGCCTTCCTACAGGACATGAACTACAGTGGTGGTTCCCTGATTTGCAGCAAGCCTGGACACTATTACATCTATTCCAAGCTCTACTTGGGGCATTCAAACTGCCCAGACATGCAGCAGAACAGCCAGTTTCTCACTCATTCCGTTTACAAGAGGACTTCTCAGTATCCTGATCACATGGTGCTGTTAACCAACAGCATTCCTTACTGCAACTGGAAGAACAGCAAAGATTGGAGGCATAATAGCTTCCTCGCTGGAATGGTGCAGCTGGAGGAGAAGGATGAGGTGTTCATCAAGGTGTCTCAGCAGCAGTTGGTGTGGGTCAAGGATGATTCAAGATCATATTTTGGAGCCTTCATGATCTGAGAGCTATTAGAGCTGTGTACAGACAATTGAATCTGTGGAACAACCAGATGGCTTCCTTCTTATACTGCTGTGGCAGAATTAGTCTCAATCCTGCTTCAATAGCTTGATAACTTCTCAAATATTATGAAGGTGAAGGGGAGCCTTACTGGGGAGCTGGGTCCACCTTGCTGAAGGGAAGAGGCCTGTTCACTCCTTTTGGATAGAAAAAGATGGTCCCTTGTGCTGGATAACAGCACACTGACCAAACGTTTGAAAACATTTTGGTGGTGGGCAGGGGGGTTGCTGGGACACTGCTGTGAGAGGGAGGGTAGCTTTGTACTTATCCGCTTTTGTGGATAAGCCCTCATACTTCCCCAGACTGCCAAAAGATAAGAAGAAAAACAAGAGTGTTATTTGTCACCATAGGCACTAGCCAACAGGTGCCCACGACTGCCATACCACAAATATGTTGGAGCAGTGCTGGTTGTTTTTCCAGGGCTGGTTTTGCCTTTTCCTGGTTACACATTAAAATTCTACAAAAATCCACTTTGACCAGGAACTATGGTGGGACACAGAATATGAAAATGTAAGGTGCCACCTCAGAGTCTCTACAAATTGGACATCTTTGTACATAGCCTCAGCACTGGCGACAGAATAGGATGGTTTTATTTTTATTTTGTTTGCTTGCCACTGAACGCATATGTCTTAAATGGGATTCCTAGCACAATCCAGAACGCTGCTTTGCAATTTCAGCTTGTTGCTCAGCTAAGGAAGAGACCATATTTGACCTCTGAGGTAAAAAGTGAAGCCTTCTTGCTAAGACGTGAGATCCGTAGTCAGCTATCAAGACACCGCATTGTGATCTCTTGGAGAACCAAAAAACAATCTGACCCTGACGGAAGCCAGCCGTCACAAATGGTGCTGCACAGCATATGAAAAAAGGACACAGTGAGACAGCAATATTTTCAGGATGGAGGAGCAGCTCCTTCGACTTCTCTCTCTCCCCGGTAACTTTTTTATTATCCTTTGTCTCTCTCTCAGCCTGCATGGCCGTCTGCCAATGTCTCACATTACATCGCCCAATCATGGCTTTACAACACCCATCCCCATATAAGGTCAATACACCCTACAAGGAAAGAACACCCATATATGGTTATACTGCTAGTGAGGATAGGCTGCATCCCTGAGTTCAGTGAGGGACTAGTAGCATTACAAGCTACTACCATGGCTGCATGGCTCCCACATGACCCTTCTGTGCTTTGCGCCTTTATACCTTGTTTATTTTCAGCGTCTCCTCCCGCAACCAACCTCCTTCTCCAAGTATCCCAGAAGGGATTGTGCATATTACTATTATTATTATTTTTTTTTTAAAAAAATCACTTTATGAACTCTCCTCCATGTGCAAGTATCTGCTTTTCCTATAAGATACAACTGTAGAATGAGATTTGACAATGGGATGGTGTCAGTAAGGGCAACTGAGGCTTTGGGCATTGCTTCCAATATTAGTTATTCCTGCCAATCAGGGATCAATCAAGCAGTGAGAAGAGCAATCTCACAAGACAGTACAAAGTAAACAACAAGATTTGTCTGTGTGAAGTCACTGAGGGCAAGAGAAGGCAACATTCATGAATGGGTCACCGTTTTCGTAGGAAGTGCTGAAAAATCCTAGTGAAACCGAGGCAGTGTGTCATGGTTAAAAATACTCATTAAAAACTGCCCTACTAATAGAACATATGAAATGAAATTAAAATATCTGCCAACAAATGGTCTGTTTGCCCATGTGTTTGGGATAGGAAGGGAATTGACAAAGGAAATGCCCTTTGCTATACTGGGAGAGAATGTTCTTCTTTTCTGAGGAAAAGTCATTACGTTGATACTGGAGAATTTCTGAGCCAGATTAAGCATAAGCCTCGGACAACTCACAAACAATTTTAATGGGGTTACTTTGCATGTTAACTCAGAAGATACGGTAACTTCCACTGACTTCAATGAAGACTTCATTTTCAACAACGTTTTATATCTTGTTTTTCCTCCAGAGACCTCATAAAGTTTTATTCTCATAAAGTTAGGCTGAGATACAGTGGTACCTTGGGTTAAGTACTTAATTCGTTCCGGAGGTCCGTACTTAACCTGAAACTGTTCTTAACCTGAAGCACCACTTTAGCTAATGGGGCCTGCTGCGGCTGCCGTGCCGCCGGAGCACGATTTCTCTTCTCATCCTGAAGCAAAGTTCTTAACCTGAAGCACTATTTCTGGGTTAGCGGAGTCTGTAACCTGAAGCATATGTAACCTGAAGTGTATGTAACCCGAGGTACCACTGTATAGTGACTGACTCAAAGTCACCCGGTGAGATTCCTGATTGAGTAGAGTAGGCATGGGCAAACTTGGCCCTCCAGATGTTTTGAGACTACAATCCCCATCATCCCTGACCACTGGTCCTGTTAGCTAGGGATGATGGGAGTTGTAGTCCTCAAACATCTGGAGGGCCGAGTTTGCCCATGCCTGGAGTAGATATTTGAACCTGTGATCCACGCTAACCACAATACCACAATGGATTTCCCAGTAAGAGTACCTCATTATAGTCTGCCTGGTACTGTTATCTCACCCACCTCTGAACATACCTGCCACATGTTCCACTGCCATTTGCATTTGAGAGCTAGGTCTCTATGTGTGGGTACAAAAGCCTTGCCTCGCAGGATCACTACTCTGGTGTGGAAGTTTCTGCCTAATCAGAATAGCTATGATATAACAGCAACAACAACGGCAATCGGGTACCTACAATTTTACACATTATGTTCCACCTCTCCAGATGCAAGTGCTTCCAACACAGCTTAAATGCCATAATAATGTAGCAATAAACAATATCAAAAACATAGCAAGCCATTGGGATCCTTCCTACAGGACAGGTTTTGTCAGAGGGGGACATTTAAGCTGACACAGAGACCCCAATGTCTTCTTTGCCTGCCTCCCCCCCCTCTCTTGGAATCGTTCCTGTTATGTACTGAAGTTCTCACCCTGGGCCAGCAGGGGGATACTGTAGATAGTTATGCAAATAAGGGATCGAAAGTGATGTTCAGTCATTGGATAGTTTTAGAAAATTGTTACAGTTACATTGTACTGGAGCTCTATATAAGCAGGCTGACTGAACCCTTCAGTTCAGTTCTGTCCTGGCCTGTGAATAAACAAGAGCTGTTTGAAGAATCGCTGTGTCGTCTGATATGTTCACCCACAACTTAACAGTTCCCACAGGGACCATTGGTGGTAAATGGCCGTGTGAGAGGAGAAGCGGTCCAGCTGGAATAGGAACAGGTGCTCAGCACTGACCCCCCACCTGCCTTCCTCTCTCTCTCCTGGAAATCTTCCCACAAGGCAGCGAGTGGTAGGTGGCTCCTGGGGTAGGAAGGTAGAACAAAGGTTCTGGTCCAAAACAAGAGGATTTACAAGCCCTGTCAGTTGATGAAAAGATAGGCAAGGTCAGGGAGAAATGTAAAGTATTGCACTTGGGCAAAAAAAATGAGAGGTACAAATACAAGATGGGTGACACCTGGCTTGAGAGCAGTACATGTGAAAAGGATCTAGGAGTCTTGGTTGACCACAAACTTGACATGAGCCAACAGTGTGACGCGGCAGCTAAAAAGCCAATGCAATTCTGGGCTGCATCAATAGGAGTATAGCATCTAGATCAAGGGAAGTAATAGTGCCACTGTATTCTGCTCTGGTCAGACGTCACCTGGAGTACTGTGTCCAGTTCTGGGCACCACAGTTCAAGAAGGACACTGACAAACTGGAATGTGTCCAGAGGAGGGCAACCAAAATGGTCAAAGGCCTGGAAACGATGCCTTATGAGGAACGGCTAAGGGAGCTGGGCATGTTTAGCCTGGAGAAGAGGAGGTTAAGGGGTGATATGATAGCCATGTTCAAATATATAAAAGGATGTCACATAGAGGAGGGAGAAAGGTTGTTTTCTGCTGCTCCAGAGAAGCGGACACGGAGCAATGGATCCAAACTACAAGAAAGAAGATTCCACCTAAACATTAGGAAGAACTTCCTGACAGTAAGAGCTGTTCGACAGTGGAATTTGCTGCCAAGGAGTGTGGTGGAGTCTCCTTCTTTGGAGGTCTTTAAGCAGAGGCTTGACAACCATATGTCAGGAGTGCTCTGATGGTGTTTCCTGCTTGGCAGGGGGTTGGACTCAATGGCCCTTGTGGTCTCTTCCAACTCTATGATTCTATGATTCTAGGGAGAACAAATTGCATGGAGAGGAGGGTCCAGGGTGGACGATGGAGCACATTTTGAATGTTGTAGCACACCCAACTGCAGCTTCGTCTGGGTGGCTGGTTTGTCTCCAAATGGGAGAGGGAGTGCCGGATTTATGTATAAGCTAAACAACCTACAGTGATACCTCGGGTTACAGGCGCTTCAGGTTACAGACACTTCAGGTTACAGACTCCGCTAACCCAGAAATAGTACCTCAGGTTAAGAACTTTGCTTCAGGATGAGAACAGAAATTGCGCTGCGACTGCGCGCCGGCAGCGGGAGGCCCCATGGGCTAAAGTGGTACCTCAGGTTAAGAACAGACCTCCAGAACGAATTAAGTTATTAACCCGAGGTACCACTGTATAGCTTAGGGCCCCACTCTCTTGGGGCCCCAAAAAAGTTCAAAGGGAAAAAAATGTACATTTCCAAAATATAAGATAAAAAACAAATAAATTGTATTTCAGTTCAACAATTACTTTGATAAAATACATATTTTGTTATGTGCAAATGGCTTTAGATACCTATTAATGACCATATAGCATATATTAAACACAAAAAACAGCAGCAATTTGTTGTTGACAAAGGACAGCTGGACATATAAAGGGCCCCATTACCTTCAGTAGCTTAGGGCCACATCAAACCTCAGTCCAGCCCTGGGGAGAGGCCTCCTTAATGAAAGAGACCTTGCCTTACTCCTGTAGCAAAGCAGGTTAGGGGAACTGCTTCTACTGAATCTTATGGGTAGAAGTCTGAAGAACTGCTGG